CTAAATACATTGTTCTATTGTCTTCAGTCCTCCACTACTGCCATCTGCAGCTCCATCACTATGTGTCCACCCGTGGATTGATTTTACTTTGTCCTGTTCATAATGTGTGCCCCCTTCATCTGAGAGCTTGGTTCTTCTGGCAAATCTGGGAAATTAATAGCTGTTATGTCTTTGTGTAGGGTTTATTCCCTCTTCCTCTCTATTCTCTGCCTCCAGAAATATTATGAGATGTGTGTTAGACCTTCTCTTCTAAATCTTTTCAAATCACTTCACCTTTTCATCTCTTTATGTCCTAGTCCTGCAGTCCAGGCAAGGTCTGCTGATCCAGCTTCCAGTCTATTAGCTCTCCACTTAGAGGGTCTAATCTATATAATATATGTTTTAAATTTTTAATTTCAGCTACTATATATTTTCTATTACAGGAATTCTATTGCTAGGTTAACAGGAGAAATAAAATTTTGAGCAGAGCATAGAGAAAAGGAAATTTCATTATATTTCCGTCTATTGGTGGGAGATTTTTTTTTTTTGTCTAATCTATCCTTTCTGGATTAGTCTTAGATATCCCTAGTTTGATCCAGGAGACCTTCTTCAAAACTCCATACCTAATGGGCCCAAGGCCTCACCTCCTGAATGGTCATTGAAATCCAAAGCTTTAGATACCCAAGATTGATCACTTCCCCTGTACCAGGGCAACAACAGCTCCAGTTAACTTACTGCCTTGTCTGGTTTTCAATTTCCTCTTCATTTCTGATAACCAAGGAGATTCTTCTTTCTCTTGAGTGTTCATCTATGCATCTGAAGACCATTGGCTCATATCTTATCTAGAATTTCTAGGCTTATAAAACCTAATCTGAAAAAAATATATATGCCTTTGACTCCTGATTCTGGCAGAATGGTAGACTAAGACAATCTGAATATTTAACTTAGTGCATCATCCTGCCAAAACTGAAAGACAAAGGCAGATTTTTTTTTTTTGGAGTAGACCTTCTCAAAGATCCTAGCCTATGTGTTGTTAATGAACATGATCAACAAAGAAGGAAGGGCATGCTTTCTATTTGAAAGATTTCCATGATAAATGTCAAAAGACAAAGAGGTTCCAAATATCTCTACCAAGGAATTACTCAAAATCATCAGGCAAACTGAACCTAAGTTTAAAATACATAATTTAATTTAATATGATTCTTAACAGTAACGCAAATGAGGAGGGAGTTGTTCTTACCCCATTTACATGAGAGGACTGAAGCTCAGACTTGTCAGTAATCTGAGTGTGTGATCACCTACACCTTGCAATATGGGAAAACTAGTGTTAAGATGTGGAATTATTTAGACAAAATTCAAGTGGTAGTACCTGGAAGTAGTCTTGTGGATGTTGGGGGTGATACTACCTTTGGGCTTACCAATATATTCACTGCCTCTCTTAGGAGACTTCTCAAACCCTATACACAAACTTTTCACCTTCACCTTCAAGAACTTACCTCCTGGCACAGCCTGATGCCAAAGGGAAGCCAGCCCTGGTGCTGTAACCTTGTACCCCCTCATTCTAAGATCCATTCGCCATGTAACCTTACAGGTGGGAAATGCAGGCACTTCTTCAGCAGATTTGGTTGCCTCTGTAATTAAAACTTGCCCTTCCTTTGGGGCAATGGCTTCTCAGTCCCTCCTCTCTGCATGAGAATAGATGACCATCTCCTGCCAGTTAGCACAAAGATGCCCTGCGTCCCCAAAAGACCTTATGAAGCCAATTTCTCCTGTTCATGGAGTTACAATGAAGATGACCCTGTCTTAGACCTGCATTTTAAAAGTGATGGCATGAACATCCGAAATGTCCCTATATCAACTGCATAGGCAATGCACACTTATGCGCATTTACGCGCATTGTGTATGTGCATTCCTATTATTAAAAATTGTATTTCCGGAGAACTTGCTGTTTTAACTGTCAGCCTCCCACAGATTCTAGCAGAGTGACTGGCAGGCAGAATTGTGTGGTTAGTGAAAAATTTGCTGTTATTGGGTAGAACCCAATGGAACGAACAGGACTTTGAGCAACAGCATTTTTATTCTGAAATCAAACAGCCTCAGATGACTACTCTTTCCTGTCAAGTTCTGGAGGTTTCGGTGCCTTTCTTGTTTCTGTTTTTGTCCTGAATTTTGTACTTCTCTTATATACACTGAATGTGAAATAGCCTAGTGCATTTCTTTAGGGATCTGGGATTTTGTTAGGTGATACCAAGGGATGGATGTAATTCTGTGACATTTTGTCAGGCTGTTAAAGAGTAAATTTTCCTTGGCTGTGGCAGGAGGTAATTATTTTTGTTTGTTTGCTTCTGACACAGGGGAAGAAAATTTGGGGTTGTTATTTCAACTATTCTAGGATACTTTTTGTTCTTTTTGGCAGGCAGGGGGAAAAATGCATTTTACTATCGAAAGAAGGACCAGCCTCTGCTTTCCCCTACAGACTTGATGCACTTTTTAACACTGAACATTTTTGCAACATCAGCCATGTAGTGGTTTTGCCCCTGTCCCTGAAAGTGTCCCTTAGTGCATTTCTTCATCTCTCCTGGCATTTGATCTGTAGCATATTCTGTTAGCATGCATGGAATATTCTCAAAGCAAACACAGCAATATATGTGGCTTCTGCACTCAGAGCTCACGCTCTGATAGCAAGAGCCAGGGATGAGCATCTACATGAATAAGAACAATAATAAAAACACTTTCTGTTGCCTTTTAACATAAAACAGTTATTGATGCAGATGGCTCGAGACAGCAAGCTCCTTAAATGACATATTCTGTAGCCTAACTCCATGCTTTAAAATTTCAGGTATTTAATTAAAATGTACCAAAAGAGTATAACTGCTCACTAGGTACTGATTGAATTCTTTAAAAAAAAAACTAAAATTTTAGGTCACACCACATTTCGGGAAAATTCTTGGAGGTGAAAGGTGAGAACCAAGACCTCAGCTCAGGGGCTGAATTATGCCTGCTGTGCATCCTCAAGGTCTGATGTCATAGAGGCAGTGGGTTCGGTTCCCCCAGCAAAAATGTCCTCTCCATCCAACCCTAGAATAACCCCTTTCATGGGTATCCCAGCCTTCACAAGGTTGTTAGGATCTGTCATTAGAGGGGGGAAAAAAACTAACCAACATTGTTCTCAAGCACAGGTCAGTTTGAAAGTTACTCGCCATAGAAACATCTGTCATATATATTAAAATGGAAGTCCACTGGGTAAAAATGTATGGGCTTAGCCATCAAAGAAACAGAATAATTATAACAATGATATTAAAAGAAGACTCTGGATTCTTACTATACAATGGCACTGTGGATTTTCACAAGTACTCTCTTAGTCATTTTTCACAATAAGTCTGCTAGGCAGGTATTATTTATCCCCATCTCACAGCTGAGTCAACTGAGTTCTGATTCCCTAGTAAATGTTGTCATCCAGGATTCCTTCTAGCTTATGGAGAATGCCATCCTAGGAAGAGTTTAGGTCTCTGTCTTAAAGAGATGTCTGGTGTTAACACTGCAATCAGCATTACCAGTTCTCCAAACCGCATCACAAGTAGACTGTGGATACATCTTAAGATGAAACTGTGACTTTCACTGAATGTCCAGGTAGTACATGGCTCCCAGCAGCAGGTGGGCTTTGCTTTTTGCTTTTAACCCCTACCAACTTCCAAACAGAGAGGTCATCTGACACTCCATCCTGATTCAGTGGTGTGGCTTTCATGAATACTAGGTCTTTTCTATTTCTTAAAATTCACTACAGAGTTGCTGCTCATTCAAAAACAAAAATAAAAACCAACCAACCAAACAACAACAAGAACCAAAACACTGTCTGTCCTCAAGGGGCTTAGACATGTAAAAAAATAAAATTTGCAAAAAAAAATAATAATAATAAGGTTAATAATTTTCTTCTTGGACCCTACAAGTAAATAATTAATGGCCTCCTAGGTTTGTATTTATAGATCTACTATACAGAATGGCTCATTTTTTTTAAGACTTCACTTCCCGTTTTAATTTTTCCATTGGTCAGAATAAATACAATACACTATCTAAAGAATATATTCATGTGAATAATACATTACAACCCTTAATGAAACACCACATGCTAAAATTAATTAAAAGCATACCTTTTAGCACAAAACCTAAGGGGAAATGGGGAGAGAGAACACACTTCTATTTTAGAGAGAAATTAGTTTTTTTCTTAAGTAGCACTCTGTGATACCTATATTGACTCTCAAGATGTTTGTTTTACTCATTAAACTTAATAGTATAAAGGGCATATATACATTTGTGAACATGTGCTCACACCCAGTGTTTAATGCACCAGCATGTAAGTAGGGTACCAGGATTAAACCAACCCCCTTTCTTTTTATTGGGCTGGAGATCCCTGGAACATGCCCCAGCAGAAACTGAGCCTTCCCTCTCTGCTTCCAAAGGTAACTTGAAGATCTCCAACCCTGCTTCTCATCCCTGGTCTCTCTTTAATCTTACCCACCTCTTCCTTCCTTACTCAGCATCATCTTTTCTGGAATCCCTTTGCATGATAAACACATTCCCCCTATACCCATGATATACTTTCTGACATTCCCTCCAACTTCTCTTCCAACCTAAAGCTTGTTTGTCACCTACAATCAGTGTCCCTGGCTGCCTACACATGTACATAGGTACTACACACCAAATAACATGAATCATTAAGCGCTCAGCACACAAATCCTAAAAAAGGTGAAGAAGTATCCCAAGCACCCACATTATACGTTCTTGATAAATAAAGATAGCATTTCCATTTTACACTGGACTTAGGGTGTCCATTTATGGGTCACAACACATGCCTAGTGGGCGCTCACTGAGTATTTGCTGAATGAATGAATGAATGAAATCCTTTCTGTTTACTACAAAGTTGAATATCTAAAGCTACACCAATAGGGATGAAAAAGATGGACAGATAGGAAGTATGGGGAAGCTATATAGAAAGTGATATTTGTGCAGAAAGACCAGCTTACCACATAAAGGCTTTCATGGAAGTATAGCCCCACATCATAAAAGTTTCCATCATGCCTCATTGGGTGGGTTCTGGTCTTCAGCTGCTCTGTTTGCCTCCACTGCAAGACACAGCCACTTGGTCGACCAAGCAAGGACACTCTGAGGAGGTAAGAGCCTTGGGGAGTCTTGTTCTTGAGGCCCCTTACGCATTTTATCTGTATTTGAAGACGCTGAGGTGCCTGACCCTGCTCAACCTAAAAACAAGACAGGTCTTTGAAACACACAGGAACTGGGTAGCACCACACAATTAGCCACAGTGTGCTTCTTGGGAGTGGGGGGGAAATGGACAATTATTTTCACTCAACCTGTAATTGTCAGGTATTAGCAATGATAACAGAGGAGGACACACGATATGTAATTAGGAGGTCAAAAGGCAAGCCTGCCAATTATGCCAGGGAAAGTTTAGCCAGTTTTAAAGCATGGTATGTTAATGATCTGTGACATCAGAAACCATTCATCTATTATAATAAGATAAAATTAACAAGAAACCAATATTCTAAAAACCACACATCATGCCTCTTTCAGATATCTGGGATGGGGACCACGGGCAGTGAGCTTCAAACTCTGAGTCTGAAAGGCAACAGCTCTTACCTCAGACACTAATCACAGACCATATGACACTGTAGGAGAGGAAACATTTTTTTCTTCTACGCTTCAAGATCTTCCCTGAACTACAAATTAAACTTACATGAAACAGATTAACAGATGAAAGAAGCCAAAGTTGTATTAATGCACAACGACACCCAGTAGTGACAGCCAGACCTATGGAAAGGACCATGGCAAGCAGTTTTTATACGTTTTAGGAAGAGAGACAATAAATTTGTGAGAAATCGACAGGATAAGGAAAACAGGTGTTTGAGAGTTCTAATTAGGAAGAAATTCTAAGCAAAATTGGGGCTGAGGTAGTAGATTGGTAAAAAAGTAAATCAATAACAAGGTTTCTACAGCTTCCTTCACTTCAAAGTTCCAATCTCTGGTGATAAGGACATCTCTTCACATCTTAGTACAGAGAGGGCACCTTTCATATGGGAGATGCATTTCCTGTGTTCAGGGGGACAGAGGAGGGGCTGAGTGGTCTTGCGCTGGCTGTTTCTCAAGTAGTTTCAATTTCAGATAATCAATGTGCCACTGTGGCACATTTTGGGCAGCCTGCCCTTGACCCCTGTACCAGGTTGATGAGGGAAACAGAGGAGGTCAGACAAATACCTCATCTGATACAGACTTTTACTCAATTTCAACATGAGGTCAACCTGCCCCATCAGCTTCAAATGAGAGTAAAAAGATAAAATAGGGGGGTAGCGTTTGTATGCACTTTCACCTACAATTTAGCATACATTGTATGTAACCAAAGAACACGATTCAAGAATATTTTATGGGGCATTTGAATTTCATTGCTTACCTTCAGCTGACAGAAATAGGCCATTTTCATTTTTAGTAAGTGCTGGAAAGTTTATACAATTTGATAAGGTTTTTAATGGACTTGTTTCAGATTAAATAAAAATTAAACTGGGATTATTAATAACTCAAATGTCATTAAGTCATGTTTTCTATACTCACAAGTCCCAAATAGTCTTCAGAATAATTTGACCTCCAAGAATTCTCTATTATATTGTGCTTTAAGCAAAAAATAATGTCGTTTTTGGAAGCAGGTTACTCTCTTGGAGTTAGTAGCACTACCCATTAATCTGCAGCCAACAGTAAGTACTTATTAATCCTGCCTAGACTTTATTTTGTGGGTGATAATATATATTCCCATATAGACAGTATGCTTCTGGAGTCAAATCACGGTTAAATAAATAGTGAAAGTTGCTAAACTTCTTTTGTTTTTTCATATAAGTCATACTTAAAAGCTCATCAGAATAACAATTATTTTTGGTTTAATTAGAAAATCTTAATTAACAATAACGACTTAACCTTAATATTTTGGTTTCCAAAAATATTTTAAAAATTAACACCGTGTGAATAAATAAGACAATCTCTTTAAACCTCAAGGCAGGATTACTGATGCAGGCAGACCCAGTTATTAAACACATTCTAAATTAAACGCCTCTATGAATTTTATACTGAAATATGTTGTGATAGTTTTGCATGCCAAATGTGACATTTTGTATTTTAGATTCATCTTCTGTAGTAATTTTGGAAATGTCATACAAACAAAGATTTTGTCATTTACCAATGGAATTACTATGCATGGCCGCTTAGCCATCTCTTCGCTGGCTCTTGTGGTTGTTTCAAGTCAGCAAGCCATAAAAAATCTTTATCTCTCTGAAACACAGCAATTTGGAAGATAATCGAATGGTGACCAGGGGGCAGAAATGCCAGTCTGAGGAATTATACCACAATCTCTCTTGCATTTACAACCTTCCTCAAAGCGAGTGTCAGATGAGTAGGAAAAGGAAGACAGAAGATTCATCAAATCTCAAACCTTGTCTCATTTGCATGGTGGCAGCTCAGCCTCATTGTCTAGTGAGAACCCAGCCTGGCACCATGGACACTGTTTTGAGGAATTCCTATGGCCCTACTGCTGAGAATTTTAGCCATTTTATTTTAGCATAGAGTTCTGCTCAAAAATATTTACTAGGAGCTGCTCAAGCTCTTTTTCTCCAGAAGGTCCCACAGGAGGAAAAAGCACACCAGGAAAGTGAGTCGATAACAACTGATCTCATCACTTAACATTTTGCAGCAGAGAAAAAGTTCGTCTGGAGAGCCTCACCTTCCAGCAAGGTCCTGCTGCTCCCTTTGATTCATGAGTTACTTCTGGGAGGGTGCAGAGCTTGCCTGCGCTGTCTTCTCTACAGTCGTTTAGGTCTGCAATTAATGGTTGACTTGGCACTCTGCTGCGGTTACCAGAAGAGGGGAGATAAAAGGAATAGGAATTGACAATGGGCATAATGAAAAGGGTTGCCTTTGGAAACACAGCACAATTTGATGTTTTCCTTAAACATTGTGTCAGATTAACTGAGAATTAGAAAAATGCCACATTACCACCATTGATTAAAGTTGGAGAGATGAGTAGCTTTTGAAATGGCAGCTTATAAAATACAAGATTCACTCTATCCAATGCAGATCCCCCAACAATTAAAATGTGTCTCGTTTCAGAAAAGACCAGAAGATCAAATATTTGGTAAGCCCTTTTGGTACTTCATTTTCTACCCTCATCCTCCAATCTTATTTAAAACAAACAAACAAAAAACCTCTGGAGTGAAGGAATCTTTTAAATAGATAAATAGCTGATGTATGACATAAACTTCATAACTTCATTTTTTTTTTTGATGCAATGATCAGGGATTAAGAGCTATTTCTACCCTCAAAGTGATCCCCAGGCTTTTTTTTTCTTTTTCCTGCTATTAACATTTAGTCACTTTACTTGAGCTTCTTTTTTACTGACCCTTTATTTAGTTAATTAATTATTTATTTGTTTGTTTGTTTGTTTATTTATTTATTTATTTTTTAAGCTTCACGAGTCCTAACAACATTCTCCTGCTTTCCCATATTCATTTGAATTAGGAAGGATCTTATATTTCACTTCTCTTGACTTCATCTTAATTCTATCAGCAGGGCCATCTGTGACAATGACTGTACCCCCACCAGAGGAATGGCCTTTTTGGATCTCACAGCTGATTTAGTTTCTGGTGATAGAAATGATTTCCCTTAATTTGGTTAGAGCTACATTGACACAAGGGTTCATTAGGACACCCATTTGCTGGCAATTCAATTTCAAATTAAATACACTTTGTTGTAAATTTTATTACTTTTAAACTACTGTATCTATTGTCTTTAATGGCCCTATTATACAGTTATGAAGGTAAACAGATTTCATTAGTAAACATCAAACATGTTATGTTAACCAGAAGGGAATGGTTTCCTCAGTTTCTTTCTTTGTTCTCTCAGCAAGCATTGTAAGGCACTCATGAAATATCCTAAAAACTTAATCTAAATAATCAGATGTTGAATTCATGCTTATCATCCTAAAGAGAAAAAAAAAACATCTTTAGTTGCAATCCCAGTTGTTTGTAATTAAAGATTTTCTAAAAATACCTCCCTTAGTTAAAAAGGAACGCAATGCACATCAAAAGGTTAATACACAGTTTTAACAGGATATCAGGTACCTAGAGTTAAATCTGGAGATTTGTGTCCCCTTGGAGCAGTCATACCTTGGACCAGGAGCCAGACCAGACATGAGCTCATTTTGAATCAGGTCCTGTGGCATATTGTTACTCTTTTCCCCCCTCATATAAAACACGTATTAATTTTGTGATTATATAAATAGATGTTTATATTTGCACATTATACGAAATTTAATTATATAAAAAAAACCCCAAAAGTCATCCATTAGTCCACAACTCAGAGATAAACATGGATAAAATACTGAGACCTATTCTTCTTTTTCTTTACAAAATGAGGCCCGTGATGTAAATATTATTTGGTAACCCATATTTATACCACTTTGTACATTATAGGACTTTTCCATGAGATTAAGCTTTTTTTCTACACCATAACTCTTTTATTGTTGGATATTTAGGTTAGCTCCAATTCTCACTATTATAAGTTAGCTTATGATTAAGTCTCTTGTATATAATATCTTGTCAACCTCGTTGGCCATTGTCCTGGTCTAAAGTCCTAGGATTAGAAGTATAGTGGTCCTACTGTACTTGAATGTTGACTGACACCTCAGCAATGTATAATCCTGCCCCCATAGCCTGTTCTCTGGGGCAGTGAATACTCTTCACAGAAAGACAGGCCCCTCTCCAGTTGATACCTTGTTTTCACTGCTAGTCAGATTAGAAATTAAGTAAAATAACATGAATAAATGTAGCATTGATGTCTACAAGAGGATTTCTCCACGTCTGCCCTATTGACATTTTGAACCACAAAACCCTTTGTTGTGGAGGCTGGCTTGTGCACTGTAGAATGTTTAGCAAGATCCCTGGCCCCTGCCCACTAGGTGCCATCAACAGACCCTTTTCTAGTCCCAGTTATGACAATAAAATATGTCTCCAGACTTTGCCAAATGTCCCCTACAGGCAAAATTGGTCCCCGCTGAACACCACTGATATACAGTATTAACAGTTATTACTGAATGCTTTGCATGTTCATGGCACTCTTATTTTTTTTTTTTGGTTTTTGTTTGTTTTTGTTTTTTTTTAATAATAAATTTATTTTTTATTGGTGCTCAATTTGCCAACATACAGAATAACACCCAGTGCTCATCCCGTCAGGTGCCCCCCTAAGCATGGCACTCTTTTTTTAAATACATTATATCTATTATTTCATTTAGCCCTTTAAGATAATCCAACAAGGTATTATTATTTCTGCTTCACTGATGTACTGATGCTGGGGAATGTTGGATATCTTATCAGAGATTGCAGAGTCCTAAGGGGTAAAGTCAAAGGTTCAAAGTGAGACCATCTAACGTGCAAACCCCTGTGAACCTATACCCACTACTTCTGCATCTCCTCTCCTGACATGGGGAAGCAGCAACTGCCACACTCAGACCCTGGAAGTTACTACTTTGGATAGAAGTTCCCACTTTTAGATACTTCCTGAGAAGTAAATAAGACATGGCTCCCAGCTATAGTACCATCACTATAACGCCCCATCTTCAACAGCCATATATGAATGAAAGGACACAAATAAATGTCAGGAGGAAAGAAAGTCATGGTTTCCACAAACCTGATCCTTAAGGTGAATCAAAGTAGATTTGTGCCTGATGCTTATAATTGACTCATATTCAATCTATAGCAAAACAAACAAAAGAAAATAAAATGCATTAAACCTGCCAAGAAGGAACGTACTTCTCAAATGTTTTGTCAGTCTTTAAATCGGACATAGGAATGTACTGATTGAGTCCTTCCCCTTCAAATTTCAAATCCTGTATCAAAGAAAACAGAAATGAGATACAATTGATTAAAAATACACTTGAAACATTGCATGCAAAAGTGGGTTTTCTAAGACCTGGATATGCTTACTCTAAAGGTTAGGGTTCCAGGAGACAAATAAAAATATGGGAGTTATACCTTCAGCAGTCACTTTTTCTTTTAAAGGTTCTATTTATTTATTCATGAGAGACAGAGAGAGAGAGAGATAGAGAGAGAGAGGCAGAGACAAAGGCAGAGAGAGAAACAGGCCCCATGCAGGGAGCCCAATGAGGGACTTGATCCCAGGACTCCAGGATCACACCCTGGGCCAAAAGCAGGTGCTAAACTGTCAAGCCACCCAGGAATCCCCAGCAGCTACATATATATATATATATATATATATATATATATATATATTATTATTATTATTATTATTACTTTCCTTACTCTGCTTAGTTACTTTTGGGCAGGAAGGTGGAAAGGATTATTAAAAAAAAAAAAAAAAAAAAAAAAAAAAAACCTTTTAAAAAAGGAGGAGAAATGTTTGGTGGATACAAACCCAGTTTTCTTTGTCTTTTTTTTTTCTCTCTCTCACAAACACACACACATTAACACACACACACCACATAACAGTACTCATAACACGCAATGGTACATTTTAACAAAATGTAAATGGATATATGGCTGAATGTGTAAGATGCTAGAGATGTTAATAATAATTGTGATCATATAATTTATCATCCAATCCAGGACATTCTGATAGTCAAAGAGGAAGCCATTATTCTAGGGCAACAGGCATAACTCAGGACTACCCCATGAACAGTATAATGTATAGCAACCCCATCAATAATACTCATCCAGACGTTGTGAAAGGGTATCATATGGACAAATATCAACATGTTTAGAGAAGGTGAATGTTGAGGGAATGAAAGAGAAAGAGAGAACTCAAGAATGAAGCTGCAATCCATTATAATCTAGCCTTGGGAAGGACAAAGCAGCACTTCTGCTGTACGCCATGGTACAGTGTAAGAGGAAACTACAAAAATGTGCTAATAGGAGGCCAAGATCCTGACTCTATAGTAATTATGAAAGCCAAACAAGTGAATGTTGGTAGTTCCTTGATTAAATCTCAAGGTAGGAATGATTCTCCATAGAGCTCAGCTCTGTCCTCTGGACACCTGGTTCTACTCTTTGGATTTTCCTTGTTTTTTTTTTCATAAAAGCTCTTCTAAGCAGCTTTTGTCTGCAGCTAAGTAGTTTCCTCAGCCTTTTCCTGTCAGTAGATTTGGGAGTCTGAAGACTCCTTTATTTTGGTTTCTCTCTCTCTCTCTCTTTTAGTTGCAGTAGTTGGTTTTTCTGGTTATCTAATTCCATTTAAAACTCTGTAGATCTTCTGTAAATCTTAGTGGAGTCCACTTCATTAAAAAAAAAAAACTCACAAATCTGTTCAGAAGACCTTTCCTACCACAGGCTTCCAAGGAAAGGATGCCATGTTATGTATTGTACTTGGTTTAGATAAGTAAGTTTCTTAATATAGCTCTGCCAAGAGGATCTCTAAAATAAGTATGTGAGATCTAATAAAAAAAATCTGATTCTACTAAGTAAATCTTAAGTTTATCACATACTAATTAGAGTGAGATTTCATAACAGCAATGCTAATCTATATTTATTGAGCACTGATACTCTACCAGGCATTGTACTTCATTCAGTTTCTTATTCTACAGATATTTATTATAGTTTTGCTTTATGCCAGACACAGTGTAGAGGCCAGTGGTATATAAAGATTATACCTGACATTCTAAAGTCACCTTCCTAGTAGACACCGTAAATAAAATAAATAAACTCGAGAAATAAATAAAACTGTCAAACATGGTAAGAACAATCCAAAGAATAGTATAGAGAAGAATTTTAGGGGACAAGATTGTGGGGGAATTGTTAGGAAAGACAGTGATTTTTTTAAATGAATCTTAGTAAAAGAATAGTTTAGCCATGCAAAAAGTGAAAGGAATTCATTGCTTTGGGCAGAACAAAGAGCATGTACAAAAGCCTTAGGTAGGAGATAGTTATATATACTTTAAAAAGAAGATCAGTGCGACCTAAGTACAGCCCCAAAGGAGAATATTGGGAAATTGGGTTGGAAACATAAAGAGGTTCCTGCTGGACCAACAGATAATGTTAACCAATCTACATATTATGTGCAATCAGGAAGCTAGTAAATGGTTTAAGTAAATGAGTAGTAATTATCGGTCTTATATATTACCAGTGATGAAATCTTAAAAATATTAAATGCCTGTTTATTTATTCCTATCTCCTATATAGCCTGTTTCTCAGCAAAATTCAGCTACTACAGCTCCAGGTAATCAGAGAGGGGGAAATGTCTTCTCAATGTGAAGGACATTAAAAAGAAATCACAACCAGGGTGTCTGGGTGGTGCAGTCAGTTGAGCCTCTGACTCTCGATTTCAGTTCAGGTCGTAATCTCAGGGTCATGAGATCGAGCCCCAAGTCAGGTTCTGTGCTCAAGGTAGGATTGCTTAAGACTCTCTCTCCCTCTCCCTCTGCTCCACCCCCCCCACCCAAATAAATTAATCTTTTTAAAAAAGTTACAACTAGAATGCATGAGGCAGTGGGGAACCTTTCCTTTGTCGCTCCCAGTGAATTATGAACTGGAGAAAAAGGTAAAAATAAGGGAATCAAGCAGCCAAATGTGCACATGTGGTGGCTTTCCCCCACCCCAACCCTTCCTCTCTGAGGTAGAAATCCTCCAGGAATTGCAGAAGGAGTATGAGACAGTTTGAGGAGAAACCAAAGAACAGAAGGGTCATGCCAGGCTTTCAGTTAAAATCCTGAGAAGAGACATGTTCCATGGTACCCCCCGTACCAACATGGCAAGTGTGCTGTTAGTTAACTGCAAGAGAGAAAAATGGGTGCCTTGTCGTGGTTAACCACCGAGAAAGCCCAAGCTTAGGATCTGTATTAGTGAGGGCCCCAGCAGAAACACGCATTCTCAAAATTAGATGACTGGAGAAGAAAGATGGATTTATGAATGTATTATTGCAAAGCTGTAGATTTAGGAGCAGGCTGCTCCCACTGTTAAGTTTGAAGGGATAAGGAGACAGAGCAGTCACCAGACACTGGAAGGAGAGTCATATAAAGTCATCTATCATGAGCAGAACAGTGACTCTGAAATGGAGGGATGAAGCCAGCTCAATGCAGCCTTAACCTCACAGGGAGGGAAGAACTATCTATCACATGACCTCTCTTCTTCCCTTCCTAACTCTTAAGAAACTCCCCATTGATGGATAGCAACCAGAAGGCCTATGGATGTGCCCTCACAGTTTAGCCTTGTGTGACAGAGAAGACTGTAGGTTTAGACGGGCAAGCTTACCAAAGACCTAGTGGTGTATGTAGAACAAGCTGTAGGATGAACCACTTGACAAAACAATGAAGTCTTGAGGATGAATTGAATGAGGAAGACAAGGGGAAATTAAAACCCAAAAACTAATTTCAAATTTCTGGCCTAAGTCAATTAGTGTTCTCTAGTGCCATTTACTGAGATAGGAAAGATGGGATAAGTAATGCAAACACGGTTTTGAGGAACAAAATAGAAGCTTCCAGGTTGGACATGTTAAATTCGCAGTGTTTTTGTGATGCCTGCATAGCAATCACAGGAGTGAGACACAGGAGTCTGATAGAAGGAGAAGAGATCAGAGCTTCTGGCTGTCACCAGCAAGATAATGGAATTTAGTTGATGGGAATTAACAAAGCCACCCTGAGACAATTCTAAGCACTTCTGTATGCATTGTCGTTTGATTCTTACAACAGCACTGTGATCCCTATATTCTGAGTGTCAGACTTACTTTGCATTTGGGTAGATTGAGGCTTGGAGTGCTGCAGATACATGCTCAAGGTGACAGTACATTGTGAAGACTGGTGGTTCCAAAGCTCAGTTCTTAATCTAAATGTAACAGGCCCTTCACAGAGTTATATTGCCATTTTAGAGGTTGTATGCATAGGGTGACAGTTTTTTCACTCACTTGACCTCATACAGTTTCTATTACTAGCCCATAACTAACATCCTTGTGAAAACAATTAAGGCTTAAATCAATGGATGTATATGGTCCTTTGGAAATGAATAGAAAGGGCTAAACAGTAAAACTTTATTAAAACTTTAGAAATTATCCTTTGCATCAACCAGTTTTCCAAAAAAGATCAAAAAGAGCAAGCATGGTTTGCAAAAAGAGTGAATGCCCTCACGAGAGCCAAAAATTTTCAGATCCTCTCAAGTACTCAAGACACATCGATTATTTATTAACAGTGAAGAAATTAAAATTTGTCACCTCATTAAGGAAGATTTTATCACAAATTTTATCATGTAATAATTATTTCATGCAGCTTTAGGGATATATCTTCTTCCATATAAAAATAATTATTTTTTGTATAGAGTTTATTTCAAAATATGTTGCAACTCTGACTCTCCACCATATCCTATTAGTCTGAACAAGTGATGGTTTGTTATAACTGGGGATTACACAGGGAACAATTTGGCAAAAATTATCAGTAAATATTGTTACTAAACCAGAAATTAAGATAGTTATGTTCTGAGTATTCATCCAACGTCTAAACAAATTTAAAATATTCCTAACTAGTTATCCCTAAAAAATTTAAACATTTTTACAAAAACATGTCTTCAGATTTTCCTAGTCTGAACACCTTTTCTAAACAAAGTATGAAAAAAATAACACAAAGAGAACATGATTGTCCTAGATGCTTCTATATTCAAAAAAACAACATAGGATAATCACTGTAAATGTTGCTAGTTTTTTCATAAAAATCCCTGAATCCTCAAAAACTATTTATATTTCTTCAACTCTCTCTGTTTTTTAACAAGTAATGTAAGTCACCAAAGAGCCAGTTGGATTCTGCAAACTGAGTAGATGCCTATTTTTCATTTTATCTAACAATGAATACTTTACTTGGATGTTATTATTCGAACTCTTCTTGCCTGTAGTAAT